TCTGCCACTTCCATGCCTTAAGCCCTAATGAACTTTGCAGCACTGTTGGTAGCACTACAAAGTAGCTTTGGGGCAGTCACACCACAGTGTATCCTTGGAAATGCCCATGAGTGCGTTCCTGGTGCATAGCTTGCCAAGCTTGGTTGTTTCCTGGAAGGACAGCACTAGCTGGGTGTATCAGACAACATCTCAGTGAAGGTGTTTGAGTAGTTGGCTGTATTTCACATTCAGAAAAGCACCTGATTGACTTAAGATGCAATTTCTCACAAGGTTTTACTAGCTTATTTTACAGTGTGGTATATATGTTTCCTTTTTTCTTTCTACAAATATATTTCTAAATGTTTGTATGTATATATACATAAAAGCTAAACTCGGAGCAGTGCAGCCTAACACTTGTGAAGCCCCATCTGGAGTACTGTGTCCAGTCCTGGTGTCCCCAGTGCAGGTGGGATGCAGAGCTGTTGGGGGCAGGTCCAGAGGAGGGCCACAAAGGTGGTCAGAGGGCTAGAACACCTCTTCTATGAAGAAAGGTTGAAGGAGTTGGGCTTGTTTGGCTTGGAGAAGACTCCAAGGAGACTAAATTGCTGTCTTCCAGTTTGTAAGGTGAGCTTATATATGGGAAGGGGAGCAACTTCTTACTCATTCTGACAGTTACAGGACAAGGGAGAATGACTTTAAACTAAAAGAGGGGAAAAATGCCATGGGCAGCTTGATCTAGTAAGTGGCAGCCCTTCCCACAGCGGAGGATTGGAACTGGATGAACTTTAAGGCCCCCTTCAACCTAAGCCATTCTATGATTCTGTGCTATAACCTTTCATTCATTTTATTCAAGATTTGTGCATCACTTGATCTTTTCGAGCTTACTCCAGCGTTCATATAGTCCCTGGCCTCTAGTTACTGCTCCTCGGAGCAGAGCAGAAGGGAATCTGCTTGTGCTACACAATTTAAGGGTGCCCAAAATGTCAGTAGGCGCTGCAAGTAACCGAGTCCCAGTGTACCTTCTGTCTCTAAAGGAAATGATGGGAGGAGAGAATCATGAGATACTGACATGGAAATCCAGGCTTCTAGCTGCTACTATCCACAATGCAGCTGCTGTAGCTTTGCAATTGCTCTATAATCACTGCTGCTCAATGGCTTTGCTTTTTCTTCTGATTACTCTGCTTTTAGAGCTGCATGTGGGGAGCTACAGCCTCCCTGTTTCCTGACTGAAGAGAGCTTATGTGAGGCTGGACTAAGTGAGGCTGCCTGTAGGAATCACTGCTTGGTGCCCTTGGTTGCCTTCCAACCTGGTTCCTCTCTGTGCTGCAGACACCAAGACCCAGGTGCAGGGGGTGGGTGATGTGCAGTGCATCCCTGTCATGCACACAGTAGCATTTAGTATGTTAACAGAGACGAGGAGCACTGGCTGCTGACTGGTTTTAACCAGTGCTCCCTCTTGTCCCATCCTGATGGTGCAACCCAGTGCTGTCACTGCTCCTTTCCAAACAGGAAAATGCCTCCCAGTCTCCCCAGATGGGGATTTTTCTGTTCCCTGAAACACGGCTTAAATTCCTCCCAAAATTACATTTCATTTCTGTGAGACCTCTCTTACGTTTCATGAACTGGGGGGTGGAGGGAGAGGGTAGAGGGGAAGGATAATTATTAAAAGTAAAATACGTTATTAAATGGGAGATGGCATGTGTCAGGCTTATTGATGAGAACTTTCATAAAATGTAATATTACTTCATTCCTACCTTAATTGAAGATATTTTCAGCATAAGTGATGTGTAACTGCTTGGTGATTTAGCTTTCTTTTATGAATAATTGTATTACATGTTTTCTCTCTGTATATTTCCATTGATACATAGCATTAGCCTCTCTCATAGCCTGCGAAGGGCCAGGCAGATCTTACTTTATTGAATCTCTTTGAAAACAGTTTATTTTGCCTTCTTAAAGTCAATAGTTAAATTAATAAACATAATGAGAAACCTTTCAAATGAGGTTTCTCTGGTTATGATCAAATTCCCTGGGCACCCACTTGCTAAAGATTTGACAGGAGTAACATGAAGCTACAGCATTCACTGTGTGGTTCATTTTTTATCAAACAAGACAGAAAGAATGAAGCCTTGTCTGTGTTTGAAAGCTGTATCGTGTTTCTGCCATTTCTTTAGGCATTCTTACAGAAATCTTTCAGTTCTCCCTTTCTCATCTTCCACAGACTAATGCAATCGAAAAAGCTGTTCTGTGATTAACAAAATGGTGATTTTTGCATGAAACATAGGTAAAGTCTCATTTTTACCTGCATTCTCATGAAATAATCAATTTTGAACTGTGATGAAGACAGAAATAATTAGAAACAATTCAGCAAATAAAGAAATCTTCATGAGCCGTAATTAATATTAAATGTTACAAGGAAAACTTCCCAGGCAACAGACCAAGTTGAGATTAACAAGATCTTTTAAGAGGCATTTATATTTGTAATGTGAATTTTTAAAACCAACTAATAAAAAACACTTTGCCCAACCTTTCTATTATGGTCACAATCTACATCTAGACTCAATGGAATAAAAGGCAGGAAGGCTACCAGCAACCAGGCCAGGGGGCATGCAATTGTCCTGTTCTGCAGTACACTGATAGCAGCCAGAGAGCTGAGTTGAAAAGCACCACTTCAAAGCTTTTCTAGGAAGTAATTGAACACTTAATGATTTTAAAGTTTCATGACAGCTCTAATGCCAAACTGTGGTTTAATTCAATATATTTATCTAATGATCAACATGCATGTCTGAAAGGTGCTTCTCTATATAAGTGTATTTGTAGTGCTGCTGCAGAGATGACTGGAACTAGAGATGTGGTGGGACAGAGGGCTAGTCCCAGAATGGTGGGGTGGGCTGGATAGGTGGGCTTCTCTGATGAGGTGAGACGTGCCCTTTTGGTAGCAGAGTTAGTTTGACCTGTGTTATTTGGTACCAACTGGTTTTGCTTCCAAGTGAACCAAGAACATATCCTTGAAGCCCAGCAGAAGACCCAGACTTGCCCACGGCAAAGGAGCAGCTTCTTCTAAAGCATTGTATGATGACTTTGCTGCATCTGCGTAATGTAAGCTGGCTGTTGGCCCTCGGTGGAGGGTTCTCCAACAGATAAATTGAGATCCATAGTGACATCCATAGACTGCTCTAGCAAACTAGCAAACTGTCTCTTATACGACTCTGAGGTCACTTCTCTCTCACCCACTGCCTTCGCTTGCTGAGATTAATGAGTCTGCAGCACATAGACAGTGTCTCTGTGGGTGAACGCAGCAGGTGTAAAGCAGCTTGGCTCTGGAGTCAAGTGAGAAATAGTAATTTCAGGAAGGAGATAAATTGGATAAGAGAAAGCAACCAATCCCAATCTCGAAGTGCTGAACATCCCTGTCAAAATTGCAGTTGTGTTTTATCGGTATACAGATGTTATTGGTGAGGAGGTACTAAAGTTAGGATTCTCAAGGGAGAAGTGAGGAAAATGTGACTGAAGCCTTCATGGTCAGCAAAAGTGTGAGACAGAGCTTAGGAAATGGTAATTTCCAACATTTCACGGAGTACTAGATCAAAATAAGTAGTTCTGTTCCATACCATCTAAGGTATGTAAGGTAGTGACCATACCAAGGTCACTATGTGCTCCTCTTGCTTCTGTTCACTCCTCATGCCCTGAGAGAACTCCAGTTGCATCACTTCTGTGTAGCCACACTACATTTATCATGACCTTGTACCTTTGTTCATCACCTCTTTTGATCTCAGGGATATCTCTAGCTTATGAGTCAACCTTGAGATATGCTGAATGGTTACCCACACAAATGTTTATAAAGTCAGTGGGGAACCTATGCTTGCCTTGTGGATAAATAGGGTCTTTCAGCCTCTGGATCTCTGAAATAAAGCATGTGGCCTCAAAAGGCTGCCAATCCTGTTGGTGGAAAAATTCTCCACAGAGCCTCAATGAAGAAAAATGTTTGAGAGCCTTGCAACATGAAGAGGGGAAAGAGAAATTTCAGCCAGCCTGGTCTTGTAGAGGCATTAATTCTTCTTTATAAATTAGCCCTTTTGTACCTATGAAATGTTTGATCACATTCCAAACTATGGCAGTTATTTGCGCTAACTGGAAAGCCAAAGAGCAGAGGAATGTCTGATATTTAAATATTTTACCAGCTTTTCTTCTAGGTTTATGTTTTATTAGCAGCAAATATGCCTCTCTGTAAGAGTCTAAATCTGCTTCTCACTGTGGCGAAAGCCAGACCACAGGTAGCTCCTACACTGAAGTTGTACAGCCAGCAGACCTGTAGGATGGATGGTTTTGCAGCACTGTATTTAAAAGTTATTCAATTCTAATTCTGACAATATGGCTGTTGGTGGGACAAGTATGCCCGTGATATGTCCTCCACTATTCACTAGCAAATGTTTTATCACTAGGGGTTATTGGCTGCCCATTCTGCAGAGGGCCCAAGTTATGGCAAGAGGAGCATCACTGGGTCTCTGATAAGATCAGCTATGCATACAGTGGAGTGAGTAGGAAGTCCCTTGATCATGACACGTGGGTGAATACCAGCACTTGAGGAGATTCTGCTTTTTTTTTTTTTCTTGGTTCAGAACCGTGAAGGTGGAACAAAATTTCCAGTTAATGTATCGTGTGGACTTTGCATCCAGAGAGGTGAAACATGGTGTTGTCACCTCTCTTGTTGCCTGTATACTAACAATACTGTAGCATGTGCAACTTCAGGAGTCTGTGCTTTGTACAGTATGGAGCATCTCCACAGCAGGAAAAGCAGAATGTGCTTGGTGTACCAGGCACATTTAATATGATTTCACTTTGGGATCTCCCAATTTCTCTGTTGTCTTTTTTTTTTTTTTTTTTTTTTTTTTTTTTTCCCCTTCCATTTAATGGAAAGTGAGACCAGAATTTGTATGAAATTTAGTAGAGATTGTGGTAATGACTCGGACAACCCTGACTAGTTCCTTCTTCCGTTCTTCTTCTGACTGTCCTATTAAATTAATTAAAAAATCAGGGAGCCCTCCAGTGGCTAAAATTATAGCGCCTAAATTCACTAGAGTCTTAAAGAGGTACCTAAATATTCCACGGTGCCTTCAGACTTTGTAGAAGTTCTTAAAATTTTAGAACAGAATTTTACAAAATATTACCTTTTTACAGAAGAGACGCTTTTTAAAAAGTCATTTCAGCTAAGTACACATGGAGGCACTTGGGTGTTTTCTGAAAACACCCTAACTCAACATTAAAAATTAAACATTAAAAATCAACTTCTAGTTCTTAGGCATCTACTTTCATAGGTAATCTCTGGGAATTTTAGCATGTTCTGTATTTGGTAATAAAACTGTTCTTCCACTCTACAGACTGATACTTAGTATTCTGCTCCAAAAGGCAGGGGGAGGGACAAAATCATATTCTCTATTTTCTGACAATCTATTTATTGATTCCTTTGCAAACTATAATGATGATTTATCATGAAATGATTGTAACAAATGTGTCTGTTTAAAGAAGGGAGAAAAATATACAAAACTAAAAAGAAACTTAATTTTGAGTCCCAGCGCTGTAGTTTGTTAATTCAAGTAATTAAAAAGTGTAGAGAGACTGCTCTGGATCTTCTTGATCTGACTTCTAAAACATTCATTGATTTCCATGACAGAAGATTTGGACTACAATTCTGTGGGGAGCTGTTGAGAAGAAAAATAGCTTTTTGTCCTTACGATGTTGATCACATCCTACTACATGCTTCGTGTTTTTGTATAATTGGTCATGGAAGGAAAAAGCAAAATAAATATTATTTCTATAAAGTAAGGCATTCAGGGCCATTTTATTTGTGCATAATTCCAACAGTCCAGGAAGCTAATGTGAAGCTTATTTAAGATATTAGCCTTTGGCTCATGCTCTCAGAGAAAGATAAGTGGATCAAATTTAGAAAAATGCTAAATCTACCTTTGAGCCATAAGCAGCCTTGTGTAGGGCATCACTGTGGGGCTGCTGACATTGTCAGAGTCACCCAGGCCAGCACCTGAGCTCCTGGTCATGTATGGCTCGTGGCCATGATGCAGAGCCAGTTGAGTCAATAGCCCAGGAAGCACCTTCTGCCCTCTAATTAGCTTTGAAATGGTGTCGCTATCTGTCTTTATCTCCTCTAATATGTTGCAATGGGTTACTGCTGCCTCTGTGTGCTGCTCCTACTGATGTCCGCAGCACTTTATAGGCAGCTGGATACAACCTCTTGTCTCCCAGAACCTGAGTGGTGAGATGTGTGTCATAGTCCTGCCATATAACTAATTTGGGGGCTGCTTACCTCAGGGTGTCCATCACCCAGCCTGGTAGCACTGGGCTGCAGGGATAGACAGCCACCTTAAAAGAGTCTGAGCATCAGCTTAAACTTGCTCCTGAGCATGATGGCCCACATCCCCAGTGTTGCACCACCACTGGCTGCCATTACTGCAGAAGTCCAGTAGCTCATCCCTGAAGAAAAGGAGGTGCTCAGCACAGCCATTGATAGTCTGCAAAAGGACAAAAGAGCATGGGGTGCCTACAGGTTGCAAGCGATCATTGTCATGAGCTGTCAAAAGCTGTGGTTGCCACAGGGATAATTGGTTTGTGTCAGCTGTAGTTGATGCATACCAAGCTGATGAAAGGAGACAGGATAACATGCCTTCTGTTGTTTAATTAAGGATCTTCTAAATCTGCATAAACTGAAAGCTCTGGATGCTGAAAGCCACCCACATGTATCCCAATATTTGTAACAATGAGAAGATGATGGAGAAAGAGGGTTCTTCCCCTCAAGTACGTGTGCCTATATGGAGTTCTCAGTGCAGGAAAAGGCCGTGTGGCAAAGCTCTCACCCTTTTCTTCCTGCCCAACAGCTCTCTGCAGATTAATGTTTCTGAGAACCCTTTCTTATCACAGGGGCTGCAATTTTTACCTAATACTTCGAGGGAGGGACACTGGGGGTTATTTTGCACAGCACGGGTGATTGAAATACGACAGAAAACTGTTAATGCAATCCCAAAAGTACTGGCTTACAGCCAAGTATCTTTTCTACAGTCGTTTCAAAGACAGTGATTAATAGCATGTCAGGGAGTTGCTCTGTATACTAAACACTACTTGGAGGACTGTAAATAGATAAAACCGAATGATCAACAACCTTATATTGAAATAAGAACAGATACCCGAAAAGTGCTGGGAATCTCAGTTGTTGAATTCTACTTTTATTGTTGTTAATGGTAGGTATCAAGAGGGAATGAATAGCTGCCAAATTAAATTTGCAGCTAATCTCATAGTAGGAAGCAAAGACTCTATCATGCAGGCAAAAACCTTATTTGGAGGATATAGTAATAAAATTCAATCTGGGCAATATAAGCTAATACAACCAGAATAAATGAACCAACATGTAGATGTTTGACTGGGCTGCAGGTGTGTGGAGATCATCAATGTCAAAAAAGTGCTGGGGAATAAGATGGGGTGATAGAGCAAATTGTCTGTCAGCTTGTAGCATGATGGGGCTGAGCAGTTTATAGGAGCAAGGCTCGTGGCTGTGAGTCTGGGCAATGTGAAAGGGATGACATTCACATCAGAGAGTGGATGCACTTGCAAAAGAAAAAAAATGATTCTTTCTATGCCAGCAGATTTGAAACTTGTGAATAGAAGGATGGTGATCTCAGGGTGAAGTGTTTATTCAAAGTTTTGGGATGACTTCCACACCAGGAGTCAACATAGAAACCAGAAGTCTCCAGCCTGGGAATGGACCTGTCCAAGAATGGGTGTACCAGCCACATCAAGCAGTCTGGGAAGGAGGGTGAGGAATGACTGCTGGTTGTCTCATGTAAGCCTTTTGTCCCACACAGTGGCACCATGTCAGAGTTAACCAAAGGAAATGATTCTTTGCAGAGGTGGGGAAAAACAATCACACTAGTTTGAAAGCAACTAAGTAAATTTACAAACATCTACTCAGGCTTTTTAGTGCCAGAATAACTCTTCTGGATCAAGAAACTTTCAGAGGCTAGAAGAATATTCTGGGAAAATGTGCCTAATCTATTCTCTACTCTTGTTTGTGTGCTTGCTATGACCAGAGACTCAATACTGGGCCAAACTAACTCACAGCCCTACTCAGAATAGCCACTCTGATGTCTCTGTTGCATACCACAGGTTTTTCTGATCATTTCCTTTTGTACAAACTGTCTTGCCACCATGTGAGAACTGTACTAGGCAGTTCTTGGTGCCTTGCTTCTCTTCTTTTTTGAGACAGCTCATCTCAAACTACATGCTCTTGTGCTTCCAATGACTCTTTCAGTAGTCATTGTGTTCTCCATGGGAGGGCAGGAAGAAACTCAGAGGAATCTGAGTGTCTGAATTCTAGGAAATTTAATTTTTCTAAATATTTTAGTGTTTAAATCTTCCTTCTGGGAAGAAGTCTTTCTGAAAAGTGATTTTTCGCTTGCTCTGAGTGATTTCACTCACTCTGCAAATTACTTTCCAGTCTGGATGATGTTACCTTTGCTGTGGTTCCTGAACCTGCACTGGGACAAAGCCTTGGTGGGGCAAAGCCTGCCACAGAAAGACCATTTTCCAATGTTCTTTATATAGCTTCTTGTCAATCAGTTTCTTCATATCCCAGACACTCCTCCACTTGAAGTTAATGGTTCTTGCAGAAACCTTTGTTGTACCAAGCAAAAAACCCAACCCCAAGGCAAACATATTCCATCTGACAGCCCATTACATATGAATGGAGTACAATGAAATGATCCCTATCATCTTACAGGTTTGCTGGGTTTGGGTCAGCGTACTTAGCAAATAGAACTGCACTGGCAGCTCCCCAGTATAAAGAGCTTCTCCCCATGCTCAGCTTCTCCTTTTCTGCACCGAGACAAACTCCAGATGCTTTTGAAGATTGTAAAAATAATCAATAATAGATTAAACTGCATGTTTTCTTCAGGCACCGTGACTGCTTACATGTAATAAGTGTTTACGAAATAAAGCATCCTAAAATTTACAGAAATCAGCTGATAAACCTGAACCTAGGTTCTTTTGTGTGTACAAGACCCTTGGTACTGATTTATTATGCTAAGGAGATAAATTTAAATCACTGGCATACTTTTTGCTTTTAGCTGGCAAGCCTGCATTATATTTAGAACCAAGAGGGCTAGTCTCCTGGACACTACTTTTTCTTAAGGATGTGCTTTTTTTGATGAAGATGAGTTGGTAAGACATGAGGATTACATTTAAATTCAGCCATATTTATAGTTTAAACATGTGGGAAATTAGATGAGGGGAGGGAGAGCAGAGAGCTTATGCTAATCCAAACAAATGTGAGAGCTCATAACGTTTTCAAATACCGTATTTGAAATCACATTACATTCTGTTTGCAACCTGATGTATTTGTGGAACAGGCTGCCAAAATATGATCACCTGTTGTTATTCAACCACTCCTGGGCTTCTAGTGACAGCACAGGACACAGCCACAGGAATGCCTAGATCATGTGTTGCATATGCAAAGTGCAACAGAATTTATTGAACAACTAATCATCAAAGCCTGACTTTTAGCTCTTTCAGGCGGACAAATGAAGACAAAATGGCAGGAACAAGGCTGTGGCCTCACAGCAAGCCTGCCATAACCAGAATGGAAATACAGGAATCTGGCATAACTTCCAGAGGTCTGATAGCCCTGCTGGGGATGCACTCAGCCTCTACCTGGAAATAGAGTACCAGAATATCCCCAGTTGGAAAGAGATATCCAGCTCACCCTCCCCTATCACATGCTGTTCCATGCCATTCCCTCAGGCACTGTTGCTGTCACAGAGAGCAGAACTCAGCACTGCAGCCGCCATCGGGCCTCCCCTCAGCTTCTCTGCTCAGGATTGAGCCAACCAGGGGAGCATACATCTTCCCCTCTAGACTTTGGGGTTGTTTTGCTTTGCAATCATCCTCTCCATCAATGCATGTTAAATTCTTTGTCTTTATCCACTCATTTCCATCCCCCACTACTTCTATAAAACAGGCCCGCTGGCCTATGTTTGCAGTGCTGGAAAAGGTGTAGTAATATTTCCAATATTCAACATTTTTGTTCAAACCATCTTGAGAAAGCATTTTTTAATGAAACACATTTACTACTCCTCATTTCTGTGTGATCTGTTTGATTTCCTAACTCTTCAAAATGACAAAAAACATTTGTCTGCTCAGAGATGCTGGCCCTAAGCCCATCACACCCACGGACTGTGGTTGTATGATGAGAAACGTTTGCCTAATTCTCCATACTCTGGAATTATAACCTTAGTATAATGAAGAGAAAAAGCCCATTACATAAGCAATTCCACCAGAACATGGAATTAAAGGACGAATCCTATCTAGGCAAATCGGGGGAGCAACATACATGTATTTACTCAGAGAGATTACCTCTTGGAGAGTGCAAAGATACTACAGTGAGAGTTGCTGTTCTAAAATCAAAATACAGATGTCTGTAGTCACAGTGAGATTGCTCCTGAGTGTACCAGAAATGCTTCTGCCTCTGCTTTCTTGCTCTCATGAAAGAGTGGCAGGTAACCAGTGCAGCAGGGGTTAAAATGAAACAAACAGACTATAGAATCCAACTTTGGAAGCTGTCAGAGTGTTCAGGTAGATGTTAGTTGACCTCAGCTCTTGATTTCAATGCTTTGCTAGACTGCTGGTCTAGGTAGAAGGCAGCATGCGATGCAGTCAGTGCTTTCAGCAAGACTCTCTGCCTGTGCCAGTTTTCTTCTCCTGTGGATGGGATAAGACACAGATGGTATTTCTTGGTGAGTTGTGGGTATTTCTGCAAATTACTTAAATGACCTTGCAGCAATTCCAGCAGATAACATTATACATTCTCCCCCTTCCTTTATAAATCACATCTTTATCTTCTAGGCTTAGGGATACAATTGTCCCATTGCATGGCTCACTACATTAAAATGTTTCTTTCTCACTGTGGTGACTTAACACTGTGCAAATACTTCTTTGTACTTCCTGATACCAAAAGCTACTCATAAACAATAGATGAACTGTTTATGTTTATGTAGCTTTCCCTTTCCCCAGAATTGACACAACAGTTTCATTTTGAATACTCCAGCATCTGTCGAGCCTGTACTCTTCAGGGTCTTCACATCTTGCTTCTAGGCACACTCTGTTATGTTGCTTCCCTGACAATGCTAAGCAGCACAGGGCTGGTCTCTTACCTCATGTCCAGCTTTCCCAGAGAGCTGTGGGTGCTCTTCTGCTTGTCTCATCAGCAGGGCCCCATTCAAGGGCAATGTCCAGTCCCTGACCAGGTATGTGCTGCAGTGGTAAGGCATGCCCTACTGTACTGGTTTCTCCCATCATAAATGTTTTCTTTTGGCTACTTTGCAAGCTTCACTGTTGGCACACTGACTTCTCCATCACCCTCTAGCTGCAGCATAAGTCATGCAGAGAACCTGGGCACTACACTGCTCTGGGCTTGGGTCATATTAAATATGAGTGAGCATAGTGGCCAGCCACAGAGGATTCTAAAATGGAGAAGAGCAACTAGCCAGAGACTTGTAAGTGAAACAAGTCTCAGAGAAGTCTGATGCTGCTTATATGCACTGTTCTTGGCCTACCCACACACAGTATTTTCTATCCTGTGGTGAGCTGGAAGCATGAACAAAACGTGTTAGGCAGATTCAGCCAACCTGCAGAACAATAGGATGTACGTTGTACAAGAAAGTTAGATTTCTCTGCAGGACATCCAGGACACCAAGCTACTAGACGACCAAGATAGTGGAAGGAAGAGGAACCCCATGCAACATATCATGGTGTGCCATCTCAGGGTGGAGGTGGGCCCTTGAGGAGGAAAGGCAAGCGAATGAGGCAAGCAGATCCAGTTTAGCCATTCTTGTGTGTGCCACCAAGCATTCAAGCAGTGCAAGTGTAGGCGCTTGTGCTCTTCAGCGCTCACCTCCCACAGCAGCCGGTCTGAAAGCTCCTTTCCCTGGCAATTCTCTTTACTTGTGAATGGCTTCTTCCACAAATATCTACCAAGAATATGCACAGAATAAATTGCAGGTTACAGGCAAGAAATGATAGCAATTTTTTTCCTCTGTTTCTTTCATCTCAAACTAGCTGAAATAAATTAGCTATGCAGCTGCCTTAAATCACTGATCACCTTCAGCAAGGTTCCCACTTTTTCACACCAAGTTTGCAGGTCAAATTCCTATTCTTTGTCATTTCAGACATAGTTTGAAAAGTAGCTGAGGTTTGGGACATGATGGTTTCTTTTTTGGAATGGAAGAAGCAAAAAAAAAGAAAAAAACAAAAACATCACTTTTAAAATACAGGTGAATCAAAGCAATTTCTTCTCTCTTTCTGGCAACATGCAATTACTTACATAGTTTTGACTTTCATATCACATAAATATTGGGGGGAAAAGTATGATGCTTTAAGTTTTCATTAGTAATGGAATAGAAGTATTCAAAAGGAGCATTTGCAACTAAAACTCACTTTGCTGTGATAATTACGTAATTGCTACCAAAAGAAAACCCACCAACCATAGAACATATTTTGAAGACTGGTATCAGCTAACAAAAACCTGTTACTCAATGAACCTTTTAAAATCAATGGGTGCATCTTGATAAGAATTAAAATGACTTTGAAAGGGGTGCTTTTCAAACCAAACCAAACAAACAAACAAAAGCCATTGGGCTGTTCCTGGGGAAGCTTCCTCTCTATTGTAAAAAATAACAACAGCAAACCACAACTTTTTTTGCAGATTCTTCTTCATTCACTTTTGTAATGGCCATGAGTGCTTAGTCCACCCTTGAAAGTCCAGACAAAATTTGTTAGCAGATGCTCCATTTCTACCGTAAGAACTATAGCATCTCTGGAGCAGGGAACAGAAAAGCAATTGATTCTCACCCACTGCTGTAAATTCATTGTTTCTCTCTTGTCAGTCACTGTCAGGGGTAGTGTAGGAGAATGACTGAGAAGCAGATGGCTACATCTAATAAATTTTGCAGGCTCATTTTGAAACCAGCAAGGTAGTCAGCAGAAACTCTTATGCCTGTGCTGTCACTGGCAGCACTGAAATCATGCTCTCTGTGCTGCTGGTTGGTAAGCTGGTCAGGTAGGCAATGTCAGCCTCCACCAAAATGCCCAAAATACCAGAGCAAGTTTCTTCCTCTTTAGTACATGTCCCTTGGGGGTGGGAGCAGAGGAGAAACCTGGTGAACAAGAAGAAATAAATAGAATGATACATACCTCCTTCTTGAGGCCACTTTGATGCTCTCTAGCACAACTGCGTGCAGGATTGCTGAGGACTCCTTAGTATTCAGCAGCAGCAAGAACCAATTGCTGGATCGTGCCGCTGGTGGTTTTACTCCCTCAGCAGGGCTCACTCTCCTTCTTGCTTTCTGACAGCTCAGGAAGCTATTCTCAGTGCAAGGTTGGGTAGGCCTCAGTTTTATGTTGTGTATGTCTTCAGCAATTTTTCAACACAGTGGTACTTCACTGTATGCATATATGCAGGTACACATGCTGTTATGGGTACGTTATCATTAGGCAGGCACATTTTGCAGCCATGCCAAATGCTTGTTCTCTGAAGAGAGTGCAGGGAGTCAATTCCTGTTGTCAGTAGAATCCAGGACAGAAATGAAAATCTATCTTCAAGGATTCCTATAAGTGAAGTATTTAATATTTTCTGGAGGTAAAAGTTAGTTTTCTCACATTGCTTCCATCTTGCTAAGAAGTAGTTGTGTATGCATATTCTGAGTATATAAAATTCATGGAGAATAATTATGTAGTTATTAGAAGTAGGAAGAATGGTTACATTTTACTTACTTTTAGCCTGAGAACAACTTTGGAAATAGTCCTTCAAATGTTAAGAAAATATAGTTCACCTAGCTTTGACAGAAGATCCTTGCAGGTACCATGTATCAGAGCATGTCAGAAAAGTCTCCCCTTTCAGACAATCTGCAGACAGAGGACTCAAATGCTGTTGAATTTTTTGTTTGTCTGTTTTCAATATAATTTGCAATTGAGCAGGTGAAAAAGTATTATGCTGAGAGTTCTGTGCTGCAGGCTAGTGTCTATAGAGAGGAGCAGGGCATTCACCAGAATAGTGAGGCAACTGCTTGGCAGACCTTCACAGTAATCCATGGAAAGAAAGAAAAATCAAAAGATCAGCTAAAAAAAATTCGTAACAAAATCACATCAAGACAGCTTGTTTTCCAGATAGATAAAAACTTTGGATGATTTTAAATCAATAACTTCCCAACTAAACCTGAACATTTGTTTGCTTGCTTCTCTGCATACTAGGATAAAAGCAAAGCATTTGGTTGAACATTCTTGAAAAGCTATTTTTGGCATGTACAACTAACCATAGTTTGCAAATTTTACATTTCAAAATGCAACAATTCAAATCACTTCCAGGTTGTAGAATGCAAAAATAAACAAATAAATAAATAAAAATTAAACAGAGAAGCCTCTGCTATGAAATCAGTCTTTGAGGAAAATGTATACTGCACACCTGATCAAAGAGCACTCTGCTCAAAGACGGAAAGTCCAATGCACAGAGACACACAAACTTTTGATAAAACTGTGGATCTCCCACTTGTTTAAAGAAGCCAAGGCTTTGTGCTAGACATAATGGCCATAAACATAATTAGTGCAAATGATGCATTGTTGCAGGAGGTTTGGTCTTCTAGGAACATATCTTCAGTGCTGATCTCTGCTTTTCCAGGCTCCTTCTAGCTGGGAAAGCATTCAGTGTCTATGAAACATGTCCTTCACACCTTCTTGTTTACCTATGAGTATTCCTGTTAAACACCACAGGCAGCTGGTACTTTTCACTTTTTTAATTGGCACAAAATAGGTGATTATTTCAGAAAAAAGAAGATCACTTTGTTTTTGGAGCTCCAAGTATATTAGTATTGGAGGTGTTATTTTGTGATATTGAACAGCTGATAGCTGTCTCTCCACACATGCTTACCTCAGACTGAGGAAAATAATCCATAACTTCAAAGACCAAAAGTGTCTAATACATTCTACTACGTTTCAGTATTACAAATTTACAGGTGTGAGCACCTCCTTCCACAACTCCCCTTTTCTCACCAATAGCATTTCACTATTGATGTGAAAATAATGTAGGATACAAACAGTATTTTCCAGGAAATAGCGATAGGTTTGCTGTGTTTGTTGTGTTTGCTTGCTAAAATAAATTACTTTCCTTTCTTTTTGTGGGGAGACAAATAATATGTGCTAGTATATAATTTGCTTTTCTTCAATATCTGTCTTGCAGATTGAGAGTGCACATAACCATTGGTTATGGAATAAACCTTTGGAGACTGCAGCATTTCTAGCACTACAAAAGTAGAAGGTATGGGGTTTTGCCACTTCTTTTATGTGTTTCTCCTACAGCAGGTATTTTGCCTACAAAAGTAGAGTATAGCAACACACTTGCAATCCTTCTTCCAGTTTCGATAGTTTGTATCCACTATTAAAATTTAAGACTAGGCAGATTATGCAATTACTCTCACAAGATACAGACAGGCAATCCTTACCCCAAGAAAATTGTGCTGATCCTACTTGTGCATGTGGGTATTTCTACCCATGCAGGTGATGCTATTGAAACCTGGGAAGCTCCGCGCCTGGTGCAGTTCTTAGCAGCTGGAAATGTGGTTTTTGGACTTGGGCCCTTTAATATTATTTGAGCCATGCTGTGGTTCATTTGCTTATGGTGGGTAACATATTACTCTGAACAGACTCCCACTGGCTTCAGGGAGTCTGTTCACAGTGCAAGGACCCATTCAGCAGTCAAAATCTGGCCTCGGGCACTGCGCGTGTTATTGCAGCAGAAATTCATTTTGCGCTGTGCTTGGGGAAAGGCTGCACACCTCTCCAGGTAACAGCCGTCAGCTTGCCTGGTGCTGCTTCCCAGATCATCTCCATACAACAGCTTTGCTATATGAGCTATGCAAGCTGCCAGAAGCACATGCAGCACATTTCACATAAGCTGCTGTGCAAACCTCTCCCATTACTAAAGTCTTCAGGCTCCTGGATCCTGCTGGCTGTGCTGCCCTGTCCCATTTGTGAGCCTTGATGAGATTGCTCCTGAGTTTTGTGTGCATTTAGGGCACTGGAGTGAGATGTCAGGGACAGAAGCTGAGGGCTTTGGCACAAATAAGATCCTCCAAACTAAATTTAGGGGAAACTCCACAAAACACTATTGATTTTTTTTCTTCTCTGTACTTAATTCAATATCTCTTTGCTCTAGAAGGATAGCAAATTGATAGGATTTTGTGTCCCCTTTCCCACGATGTCATTTCAAGACAGCAACTGCCTGCTTTTAAAAGGATGTGGACTGCCTTCAACTGCAAGAGCTATGTGCGCAGAATTTTCAGTGAAATGTTAAGTGCAGAGTGACAAGAGTGTTCATATGGTTGGCTCACTGTGAAACCTGGAACATGTAGCACCCACATCAGACTGTTGGTCTGATCAGGTTCCCCTGCTTCACTTCTCCCCTTCAGCAAGGCAGAGCTGCCATGAACATCCTCTCCTGCTGCTAGGAGGAGTAGGTGAAAGATGAGGGAGGGACCGACAATGAGGGCAGCAGGGACTCATGAGGGAGAAGAAAGCAGAGTGAGTCTTGAATGACTCGCACTGAGGCTTCAATGATTGCCCTTAAGCGTGGCCACTGGTTACTGCTCTACACTGTTTGAGGTGTAGGAGGACATGGTCCTCAAGATAAGTGAACAAACATCAGCTTTAGGGCAATACACCTTCATATTTCATTCCATGGAAAGTATCCTTCCATTGATACTCCTAGAAAACACCATTTGCAGAATAGTCTGTCCTCACTTCCACATCTCTCATCTGTTACACCCAACTCCTCATACACTCATGCTAGTCCACTGCTTTCTGGCGCTTTCTCTTGCTCACCATGTGAGTCCCATGGCAGGTGTTTGGGACCAAGCCTAAGCTTTACCTTGTGATGTGCAGGTACAATGATGCTTGTATGTAGGACAAAACAGGCAAAGCAGAATATTTCACAGCTGTCCCACATACAGCTGTAGGCACAACCAGCTTGATGCTTAGGAATACTCTAACACAGAATCATGGCACAACTTCTTACAGCAAGGGCCAAATGAGACCTGCATTCCTCTTTCATGACCCTGAGACCACAGTGTGTGAAGATCATGGCTTTAATGTAGATACAACCACTAAAAGGAGATTCATACCTTGGCCATTGGTCCCACTGTTACTTTAGAGTTGGCAAATTTGCAGAAGACAACAGCAAAATGATATCATTAAAATTCCTTGTGAAGATTGGAACCTGTGCTACAGTTTTCCAATCCCCTCCCCCCTCCCCTTTTTTTTTCTTTCCCTCAAGTCAGGAAAGTAAATATAGAAAGAACTCTACAAGGAATGTTGAGAATTATGTTTCTATAAAAGAATTTCCAGAAAGTAACAAATGAGTAATATAACTGATGCAACATGAATATAATAGGTGAATCTCAGCAGTATATCACAATCATGATACCTATGCCTTAGGGTATTAAGACGTGATGTAAACTTGAGCACTTTAGAGACCTCTGATCTCTATTCTGTTACAGAGATCTGAAAGCAGTATCTCATTAAAACGAGGGGGGAAAATGAAACAACACTCAAGTCTTTAAAAAGCTGCTGCTTTCTGGAAAAAAAAAAAAAAAAGGAAAAAAGAAAAAAAAAGATATGCTCTTATAAAATTTCAGATGTAATCATGAGCCTGCAGCATGAGATCTTGACTGTGCTACTGTGATAAAATCTATAGGAAACTCTAGATTTTTTAGCAGAGGTTCAAGCGAAGGAAAATATTAATGGGAATGGTCACAACCAGATGACATGACACATTTCTTTTTAGGACAATTATCCAACTGCTTCCAACAGAACATAGGGGGAGGAAATCACTGTGAGGAAAACCAGGTATTGGAGCAGTTTACCCCAGGCTGTTGTACTGTCTCCATCCTTGCAGGTTTCCAAGACCTAGCTGGACAAAACCTGAGTGCCCTTGTCAGATAGATCTCAGAGCCAACACTGTTCACAGCAGAAGGTGAGACTGTCAACCTCCTAAGATGCCTTCCAACCCAAATGTTCAATGTCCACTTTTGGAATTGCATCTGAGCAGTGGCTGATAGTTCTGCTTTGTGGTGATACATATATTATATATACATATATATTACACATAGAAAGGGGGTTACCTTTTGTATGGGAAAAATGAAATCTGAACATTTACATGAAAATGGAAGGTGCAGGAATGTCAGCTGCACCCTTCTGAGCCTTCTGGCTAGGGTGGTGGCTCCAAGGGTGGGAAACCCAATTCCAGGTCCCTGCTGTATGACTCAGAGTAGAAGTTTGCACCCCACACTGCTCCAGATGGGTTTCAAATGGCAAGCTGTCTGGATCCAGGTTTGAATCAGCTTGCTAATTACCCTTGATATGCATGTGGTCACTATTACATTTGCGGCTCCATGAGGCATCATGGCTTTGACCAAGTCCCAAGCCTTGAATCTAGCAGCAGTCACAGGTGGTGCAGGGAAAACTGCAGCTTGGCCCAGCACCAGAGGCTGCTGAGTCTGTTTTGGTCCTTTCTGCTTACAGGACAGCTTTGAGATTCTGTAAGGACCTGAACAAGGTCACATTGCAGCTTTTCTCCTTATTACAAAGCTGGCATGGCACAGCTGGGGTAGATAAGAAGCATGGGAGTAAGGGGAGATGTTAGTGGCCAAATCGGCTCCTTAGCCCTCTCAGAGCCAGCACAGAGGGCTGCAGAGAACCCCTTAGTAGGCCAGAGTTTCTGGTGCTGCTCTCAGCTTCCCCATCATGCCATCAGATGTTGGCCAAAAACTCCTGACTGTTAATCCTGCCTCTGAATCAGCCTCCAGTGGCCTCAAGCAAAGCATTTCACCTCTCTGTTGCAACTTTTCCATCTGTAAAATTGGGATAATGACATTTTACTAACTTGTAGGAGTGCTGTGAACTTTAATTAAGGCAGGGTTTGTAAAACGCTTTAATGAGGGAAAACTCTAAGAACGACTAGATTATTTGATTAAGCTGGCTATTGTGGTGCTTTCAGACCTGCTCAAATAACTCAGGAGCCGTGTGTACAAACTGCAGATTGTTATCCTGCAAGCCTTCAAAGATAAGCATTT